GATGTACATAGAATACTTTTGGAAAAATAAGTCTTTATTTAAATCAAGAAAAAATAATTACATATAAAATAAGTGATTGTAATTTACTTTTCGAAATTAAATGTAATTTTTTTATGACTAAAAAATATTTTGATGATGCGGCTGATGATTCAGCTGTCACGTCAGCTGAATATTGATGACTCGGAGACATGGCAGCTGACTCAACAATTGTTGACTTGTTAATGTATGTTTTAGCCGAATTATATGAGTTGATGTATGAATTCTCCTACATATATAGTTCATGTCTGTAACCATGACCGATAACTGGTGTATGAATAAGTCGTTTTCCGTGTTTAGAGAGGATACAATTTCATAAGTGTATAAGAGTGTAATGTTACAACAACAAATTATTATCTGAAAAAATCGAACGGAAAGTTACACCCAAAGAATTTCATGTGTTTTTGGACAGAACAATATGAACACACGGCCGCATAGAGAAGTCGGCACGGCAAAGAAAATAATGGTTGCCACGGTCAAGATTTGACCGAGTCACACAGGGAAATTATGAACAGAGAGGAGTTGAGATAATGGGTTAATCACAGAAGTAGAAGAGAGGCCAAAAGAAAGAGGATAAGAGATAGAGTGAGTCGAGTTTGTCCCTTAGGTGCTTGAGTATTGGTTGATGAGGTTCCAGGGGTTGATGTTGGGGCTTCTGCTGTAATGGGACGTAGTGGTGGCTCAAAGACATCAGCATCTGTGATAACCAGGTTTGGAGCTTGGGCTGGAGGTAAGGACGTAGGACTCACAATGGTTAAGAGGCCACCAGGTTGGACAGGGATCATGTAAGATGGAGTTTCTTTTCTGCCCAAACACCGATTCCCTGCATGCATAAGAGAAACAAATTTAGGCATTGATGTTAAGAACGTTGTGTTGTGTGACATTTGGTGCAAATTTTAGGCCACTTACTTTTGTATCTTGCAGCTGTTAAAGGGAACTCGGTGATGGTTCCATTGATACCAGCTCCAGTGATATATGAATTTATCTCAACAGTTGGATCAGAGAAGTAATCAAATGGTTGAGATACAAACTCATTCTGAAACAGTTCCACATAGACCGGGAGCTGAAACTTATGCAGCCTCTGCACAACCTTGGTTTCCCCAGTGACGAACGCATCAGCATGGGGAAAAATTGATGATTTTCTGACGACAACAGCGTTAGCAAATTTCTTTATGTCTTCGACACCAAAGTCGAGAATATCACTAATGGTTTCTTCAACTTTGTAGACAGTCTCGTACAGGCTCTGCTTCTTGAAGTCAACTAGAACCGAGCTGTTTGTTGACTGAATCATGACCTTTGTTGTGGTTGTTCCACTGCTATAACCGGTTTCCGTGAGTGTATCGAGAACAGCTTTGACCACGTCGAGCCCTTGCTTCTCTCTCAGGTAAACTACATTCTAAAGACACAAAAAAAACATAGTGGATTGGCCTTTAGAAGATGTCACAATCTCTTTGATAGAATCAGATTAAAAGGTACGAGAAATTGCCTCCACGCTGATCAAAACACCGGAGAGAGAATTGGAGTTCTTTGCCAAGTTTAGGAATTCAGAGAGCGAAAGAAGCTTCCCAGAATTTCTCTCATTTGGATTCCTAAACATACTGTAGTCTTCCCTGAAGGGATTTGAAATAGCAGCTGCAAAAAAGATGGGAGAATATTTACTGCAATTCTCAGTTTATGTAATCTCTAAGTAGCCTGTTATCTTGACCAAAACATAGAAACAAGAGGAATGTAAAATTGTTAATATGTAACAGAAGCTCTCAGACTAGTTACTATAAATAGTAGCAAAGTAGCATTTTTCTGAAACAAGTAGGAAGTTTGAGCGAAAACTTACGAGTCAAGAGCTCGATCTCAGGCCATGTGAGACTAAAAGTGTAGATTCCCTCATCTGAGCTAATCTCAGAAATATTTGTTGAACGGTTTCTGAAAGGAGTTTGGGCTACCGTTGTGCTGTCCCTGAGATTGATGGAACTTGAGCAAAAGGGTTTACCGTCGCTGGACATTTGGACCGAGCAATCGATAACATCAGCACCATCTTTGATTGCCTTCTCATATGCCAAGTTTGTACATCCAGGAAAGTCTCCACTCGCACCATTTTTTGATATAACAAGAAAATCCACTGAAACATGAACCATTTCTTATTAATGAGAAAATACTAAAATGAGAAATTAATGCTCTCATTACCTTGTTTTGTAGCATTTCTGCCAATGTGGGAGAAGCAGTCTGAGGAAAATATGAACAGAAAATGTTTGATTTTGAGTATTTCCAGCAATGTTTGAAGGACAAAATGGTATATGTAGAAGAGATTTTGCTTACCAATGGATGCAGATGCAGTTATGGGAAAATCAGAGAGCACGCCATCGACAGAGAAATTGCCATTGTCAAGAAAAGATAGATACTCAGAAACTGGATCGAAACTGTAGTTGTATGCAATATCAACATCATTTGCAAAACCTGACACATATACTTGTAATCCAGCTTTGTGAGCATCTTGAACTAAGGATGTAGGAGGAAGCAAGTACTGCTTATCGAGTGGCATTACGTAATACTTGGGAACAAGAATCCCTGAAGCAAACGTCTTGACAAAAGTTAGGTTACTCAAGATAGAACCGTAGGTTTGGTTTGTTGTGGGCTCGTAATCGTCTTTCCCAAGAAACTGGAACACGAAACTCGGTCCATTAGGCCCCAAGCGGCCAGCAATTTTCTTAAAGAATTTCACTTCAGGGGAAGAGATGTAGTCAATGGAAATAGTTCGTGAAGCTGATAACAGAAAACTGCTCATGCTAAAATTTTGTTGCTCGTAGAACTCATCATGCTGAAAATTTAACCAAAAACCATCGGGTTTAATCTGCTTGGCTACGTTTTGAACCGTCAAAATCGCGTATCGGTTTCCATCGAATTTTTCTGACCGAGCTAATATTCCTCGGATCACTGCAACAGGTGAAAACGAAGACAAAGGAACACTTGTGAGCATGTACAAGAAAAACCCAATTTCTCTTAAGGAGTCATGAACACTTACAGAAAAAATTCTTGAGATCTCTCAAGGAGAAATCAATGGTGAACCAACCCTGAGTAGAGACTCCATCAACCAGGTAAGATTTCTGGCGAAGCAGGGTCCACCCTGAGATAGACAAAGACGATTCAATAGAAATATATATTTTTTTTAAATGAAATTTACGATTTTGGGGACAACGATCTCATGTCGCTGTGCCCTGGGATTCGGGTACGCACCATCACTAGTTGAAGCCTTGCTCATTGTTAAATCAGGGAAGCAAATCCCATGTTTATCTTTAGTTAGCTGAACATCACACCATAGAACAGTACCAGGTACACTTGTCTGGACTGCAAAAGCGTAAGCATCGAGACTCGAATCTGGAACCAATCCAGAAAACCCACCACGAGCAATCACAAGAGGAACGTCACCTGGCAAAAAAAAAAGTATGCGACTTCAATATTTGGAAATTGCCCTTTAATGATGGCTAAAATCCCAAAACCAAAATCATGTTTTCCATAACTGTTAAAATCCCCAAACGGTGTAATTAAGTTGAAATTACTACTATGATTATCCCACCTTCTTCTACTACACATCTGCATAAACAGAGCACTGTACTACTTCCTCTCGTTTTCTCCTATTTTCTCGGAAAATCAAATGCGTAAAGAACGAGAGAAAGGTAGAGCACTCTCACCACTGAGCGTCTGCCATGGACTTCTGGATGTCTGAGCATCGATTTGAGCAGCAAACAGTTGAATCAGAACAACACCGCAGAGTAAAACCGTCGGAGCTCGTAACCTTCGCATTGTCGGATTACCTAACCAGAAAATCATCAGTGCTTCTTCATTCTTTTAATCCATGTTCTCCAATTTCAACTCCACAACAGATCAATCCCAAAATGATGTTCAATTTTTGTAGAGGTGTAGGGGAAATTCACATACTAACTATTTGAGAGGTTTCACATGTGGACAACATTTTTTCTAATTTTAATCAATGTTCAAAATGTCATTTGTTTGTACCGATTAAAAAAGGTGGCGAAGGTGAAGAAGACTAACAACAAATGAATTTCAATCAGTGGAATAGTGGACAGAATGACTCAAGAGCCTTTCTAATCAAATGGCTTTATTAGTTGACCGGAAAGACTTCATCTAAGGAGGTGTTATTGGATTAAGACTTTTAATGTATTTTGTTGTACTTGTATTTGGGTTCTGATGAATTCACCACGTTGGATTGTATTATGATGTATTTTATTTAA